AAGCATTATAATGCTATGAGATTGAATCTTTAGCCATTTTAACTATAAGTACTACATACACAACGTAATGTATTGAATTAAAAACAAGTTTTAATACATAGGTTGTAGCTGTATACATGGCATGAAAAAGTGGTCAGGCCATGGCTTGACTAGCCTTACCGCTTCATATGACCCTGAACATTAGCACTGTTAAGTATCTGCTCGTTTGTTAATTTACGGTATAAATTCTTTCCGAGGAACTTCAGCGATACAAGTCCTTTCTTAATTAAAACTAGTTTATTCTTTCTCGATACAAATTTTAGTAATACACAGAATTTCCACAGTCACTTTAACTTAGCCACTTTTATAAACACACGCTATAAATCACAGCAATTCACACACTTTACTTACGGTGCCTACTGCTCGCTTGATTCCACTATTTCTCTCTTCAATCTATCTCCGGCTTATATACTAAAAAAGAGGGCGTCTAGCAAACGCTGGGACATTCATGAGGTTCCCCGATAAGTCATGATCCTTTTAGAAACTCCAGCCCCCATGCTCCCAGCGTCGCGTGATTTCCGCTGTCGTAATAGTACCAAGTCCGACGGATTAATTCGAGTTACATTGTATCGCAAAAACAAAAACAAGCTCCAAGTAAGATGTTTTAGTTTTTCTGCTTTAGTTTATTTTATTTGCTTGGATGGTAAAATGTGCGTAAGTCAGGATAGCTTAGCATCTGAATCTAGCTGAAATATCACGCTAGGTATTCTATAATACGAGACACATATATAGACTATTTTGACATTACAATTAAATAATCTCATTTAAAACGTTCTTAAATTTTTAAATCTTAACATACCACTGTTATTATAAACTAGAAGTTTATTTCCATGGTGTTAATTAGTTTGTTGTTCATCATACTTCCCAGGGAAGTAGTTAGCACTACAAAGTTAGGCTTTTTCCAAAATAATTTGGACCTTTTCTTCTACATAAAGAATGGAAATGATTTACATGTACTTCAAGTGGTCATTTAAAGAACTAGTGGACTTTTTAAAATATTAGGGTGTTTGTTCGACTCTCCTGGCTAAGACTCTGCTGAACAAGTAGAGTTGACGTATCTGAGGGTAGCGCTTTTACTAATCATTTAATGGTAGTAGTTATCCTTGTACTGTGGACACACATGTTGATTGGCTGCCTCATTCAATGTGAGGAGACAATGATGTCACAGGAGACGATGACGACATAGTTTCATGAAGTGCCACTAGAGGACACTGGCGCCCTGTGATGATGTTACCAGAGATGATGATGTCATAGACACCAACGACGATGACGTCCACAAAGTGTCGCCAGAAGGAACTGGTGCCATGCAATGATATCATCAGAGAGGATGACGTCCACGAAGTGTCGCCAGAAGGCACTGATGCCATGCAATGATGTCATCAGAAATGATGACGTCCACGAAGTGTCGCCAGAAGGCGCTGGTGCCATGCAATGATGTCATTAGAAATGATTACGTCCACGAAGTAGAACCACAATCGTGATGATTTCACCAAAAATGTCTCAACATGTAATCAATGGCTAAATTTCATTATATTCTAAAACTAATACCGTCACTTAACTGTAAAAAACTTCTCTAATTCATTAGTTTTATATTTAATCACGCTTTTTTACATTTCCTGATCCTTTAGATGTAAATCACTTATGGTCATCAAAAGGACGTTTATTTAACATCCAAGCTTATGACAGTCTTACAGTTTCAGAAGTTTGTCTTTATGATATCCATATAACTATATTATTGACAAAATATTTCAATTTGGTGTTTTTTTTACGATAAAGGGCAAGAAAATACACAACTAATTTTGAATAAACATACTGATTATAGTTTTAGTTTCTATAATTAAACATACTTTTATCAATTATTGTCCTGGAAAGGATCCAAAGACTCTCATTTCAAAGAGACAACTATTATAACGTACATATTATCCATTATTTGAATGAGGCAAATATTATAACCAATAATTTAATTTATATACTTTCCCTCCCGAAAAAGATGATTATTTAATTCTCTAGGTATGATTTCATTTTGCTACAACTAAATATAATAGTTGGTTGGATTTTTGGTGCAAAGCAACTAAGCTATCTGTGCCAAACAACCGGTAAAAAACATGAAAGTAAAATTGTTATAAAATGTAAAAATAAATTGAGTTAAAACTAAGCAATGTCCAAAAATTCAGATAAGAGATTTAAATAGAATTTAAAAAAAACAATGGTTTGCAAAAACTTAAAGATACAATAAAGTTGGACAGTATCACCATCGCCAATGACACCATCTAATGTTAAAAATGGTGCCACCATTCACAGTCATAACATCGACATGACAGTAAAATGTGGGCTATTGTGACTTGAGTGTCACAAAGGCTACACATTAGTTGGTCAGCACCAGATAAAAGAAAACAATGAGTTAAAGAACTGTGACCAATGCATAGCCTTATGGAAACAAGACAGCCAAAGAGCAACAGAAGGTTTGATCTGGAAAATCTTGTTATGACGTTACTCACACCAAGTCGACTGCCGACTGGCGTGAAACCTCGCTTTGAATACAGAACTGGGAGAGGCATAGCCGTGATGGCACCAAAGTAGATGGAATTAGCTGCAGTGTCAACGAGCTCGTTCCCGCGAAAACCGACATGGCCAGAAAAATTGGATGGAAACAGAAGATAGAGAAAAACGGGCCAGTTGTTGTTGAATATTGATGATAACAGGGTTAGAACTAATGTTAAGCGATTCCAGGGCCAGTAGAAAGCTAAGAGAGCCTGTGTAAATAGTACAATTCTCCTGCACTGCATAGCTTCTACATGATTCAAAGCAAGAGAAATGGCATACAACTCAGCAGTTAACACAGAAAGTGTAGAGGGGATCCTGTGAGCAACCATTAAGCCACAACAAACCATAGAAGAGCCCACAGAGTCACCTGCTTTCGAACCATCCATATAAACGGGAATAGAAGAATGGTTCAAAAGATGATTCAGCAAAGAGAAGACGGTACTTCCAATCGGGAGTATCTCCCTTTCTCAGATGACTCAAGGAAAGGTAACATTCGGGGATGGTATTATGCAATGGTGGAATAGGCTGACCATTGGGGACAGCAACGTCATCCACTGCCAGACTCAATTCAGCCAATTGTGCCTGGATACAAAGGCCAAAGGTAGGAATTGCAAACCATCTATCCTAAAAGAGCACAGCTCACTGCAGAAGAAAGACACAACCCCAGGTGGGATGCTGTGGTAAGGATTGAAGCTTGGTAGCATACTGTAAAGAAAGTTGCAAATGGCATAGGTGTAGAGGAGGTTCGTGGGACTCAGTGTACAAACTCTGGTCTGGAGAAGTGCAGAAAGCCCCCATGCAGAGCTGAAGCCCCAGATGGTGAAGGGGTCCAGCATCTTCAAGGATGAGGTCCTGGCAAAACCATAGACTAGAGACCAATAGTCCAGTTTGGATCAAATAAGGGG